TCTCTCTCTCTCTCTCTCTCTCTCTCTCTCTCTCTCTCTCTCTCTCTCTCTCTCTCTCTCTTCATCACGCCATGTTCGCATCAACAAAACAATTCCAACTCGTTTTATGAATCTGCGGCAAAATATCCACTTGCATTCTCCCTGTGCTGCAGGAGGATGAACTCCTTCGAGTGTTTCCATGTGCATCTGCTGACACGCTTTTGCTCTGTGATGGTCCACGAATCAACCAATAATATGAAAGCAGGTTCGCAAATTTTCTAGCAATTCAACATGCTTCGCACAACAGGTAGACAGTTGTACACGCAACCACATGGAAAACCAGAAAGTTCACACTCACCTCCTTTCTTTTAGCTCTGCATATGAAACTGCTCGCTGTGCAGTTCCTCTTGAAGGTGATGGTACGTTGTCATGAATTGGACCAGCAGGCGGCCGAAGAAGTGGATTGGACCCCCCTGGATATGAAGAGGGTGGGTACCATGACTGAGAGGGACTGCACAATGTAAGCCCGGCATCGCAGCCCCACACAACCGCATAACAACACACACACACACACACACACACACACACACACACACACACACACACACACACACACACACACACGCATGCCGCACGAACGCACACACGCACACAATGGGCGACAATATTGGATTTTAATTCCTCTAACATCCAACGTTTTTGCAAGTTAAAATGTGACATAAAAGACGCCCTAACACCCGCACTTCACACACCCCAGCGCTCACGCAAAACGAGAGACGGGCAAACCCACATGAATGCGGAACAGAGATAAACAGCCACACACAGAGAGAGAACAGCAGATACACTCACATCTCTCCCAGATAGACCCAGATCTCCCCACCCCCACAGACACAAAAACAAAGGCAGCCACACGGGACAGAACCATTGACAAGAAAGAGACACATCCAATCCACATTGTTCAACATCGACCTTCCACCACGCACACACACACACACACACACACACACACACACACACACACACACACACACACACACACACATTGAGAAAGAGACGCACAAACAGATAAATACAGACACACCATCTCTCCCTCCCCACGAAGAAATGCAAACAGAGCGGCAGGTAAACAACAAAAAAAAAAAAACAGAGACAGATGCACACCGCATTCCTTTCCCGAACACTGCCCCGACCCCTCCAAGGAGTACCCCCCAGGACCCTCAGACATGAGGGCACTCACTGGGGGCACTCACGTCAGAACTCTACCAACTGGAAACGAAGGCGAAAGAATAAGAGAAAACAGAGAAATTACTTCACACCCTACGGCACTGACAGACAGCTAGATCAAGAGAGAGAGAGAGCGAGCGAGAGAGAGAGAGAGAGAGAGAGAGAGAGAGAGAGAGAGAAAGAGAGAGAGAGAGAGAGAGAGAGAGAGAGAGAGAGAGACCAGAAACAAGCGAGAAATAGAAGCAAAGCGCACCCTACGAGTCGCAATTCGGGCAAAGACAATCCGTCAGCTTTGAAGCCACCAAAGAAACTCAAAACAGGACCGTGAACAGCCACGCCCACACAGTCCCCAACGACGAGAGAGACGAGAGACTGCCAGTCTTAACCCACTGCAGCGCCGAAGGAGGCGGGCAGTAACGTGCACTATTAAAAAGAGGTCGGGGGGTCTAATTAAGGCTAGAAAGAGCAGCTGACTGACAAACCGGGAGACAGCGGGCAGGGGTAAGACCCCCTGGAGGAGGGGGGCGGGGGGGGCTGGAGCAGGGCGATAAAAAATAATAAAAAAGAAGGCAGGGGAGGTCAGAAACGCAAAGAGAAAGGCAGATGAAATCGATCATAGTCAGACCACAGAAACGTAAGAGCGAGCCTTGAACAACGGCGCTAAGGACGGACGCGGAGAAGGAAGGCTGGAAAGAGGGTGATGAAATCGAAAAGAGGGTGATGAAAATCGAAAGAGAAAACAGAGGGAGAAGGGAGAAACCTGGCACACCGAACAGATCACTAAAATATACGACCGAGTTCATCATATAGCCAGAGCTCTGAACGATGCCAATGACGAGAAAGCGAGGAAGAAGCAGATTGACAGATAACGCAGGCCAAGTGGTGGAGGTAGGAGGAGGAGGAGGAGGAGGAGGAGGAGGAGGAAGATCACAGAAGAAAGTTCAGAAGAAAGTTCCAATAATCCACCATAATAGAACGAACCAGTGCAACGAAAGATCAGATGCAGCGCCTCGCTGCACAACCACGAAGCATGCTCTCTGCGTTGCGTGCGGAAGGAGACACCTGTGGATGTACTATACGCGGGAAAAGCTTAATTTTCTAGGCATACTCACACTAGGAAGTTTCTAGATGTATCTGACTGCAATTACGGCGAGACCTGTATGAATCTGACCGGCAATCACATCCACATTTTAGCACAAAAAGTCCTAGAGTGAATGTGTTCTTAGACTCCCCCCGGGACCAACTTGAATCGCTCTGGAAAGATCTGCTAGACAAGTGGATGACGATCGTCGAGCAGACGTTTCGGGGGATGGCCACGTTCTAGAGCGAGTCGTGAGGATGCAGAAACGGGGGAGGACGAAGAGCAGGGCGAGGAGGAGGAGAATAAAAAAAAGGGGTAAAGAAGAAGAAGATGCGTAGGGTGGGGAAGACAATGACGAGGACATGGCAGGGGGAAGGGCTGAGCGGGAAAAGAAATGAGGAGGAGGAGGAGAAAAGGAGGAGATCGTTGTGAGGAGTAGGTCAAGAAGGGTTCGTGGAGTCTATCACTAAACCGATTAATATTCGAGCTCATACACAAGCGGCCTTCCCCCCCTTTCCCCCCCTTCCCCCCCC